TGAAGGATATCAGAGTACTGATAACACGATAAGGCCGTGCATGGCTACCGTTCTGGGAGGGGGAAATGTAGTTTACCACCAGAAAAAGTCTCTACACCAGTTTCCAGGTCTCCTCTTCCGTTTATCGACGGGTCCATATAACAATGAACTACTGGAGGGACCAATAGATTTATCAAGACCACATCCCTTCTCCGAAAACCAGGTGTCCAGCGAAAAGAACAGCTATGAAGAGCCTTGGCTCTGTCGAGCGTAGCATTCATTAACACACTTCAACCACGCTCGTCTTACAGTTGGATAATTTTTGCATGTGCTTGTGCTCATTCTGAGCACGCGTGCACAAGGTCGGATAGATAACAGAAAGCGGCAGCATGAACAACGACGCCAACTACTGCCGCAGTAGTTATGCTCAACTGTGATATGAAAGTTTATCGGTCCATGTCAGTTCATTAGGCTAGTGTTGTGAGAGAGATGCCCAGATATCATGCAACACGATAACTTTGCATGGTGCATGGCGCACACTGCGTAGGCGCACAATGCAGTGAGGAAGCTGCGTCGTTGACCTACAGTTTCTTCTAGAAGAAATTCCAACTTTTCGAACCTTGTATATTCTGCAACTGTTGTCTTGATTAGACCAACAGTCCTGACGTATATTTTGCCGAGACCTCAGCCTGTCGTCCAGACCTCAAGTCACAGACCGTGCGTCCCACGCACTGCTTGTGAGCACGTGCTGCTGTGAATTTCGTGGCGAGTGACTTTTTAAGCAGCGTCGTGCATGAGAAACCCCAACTTAAGGCGAATAAGAAGATCTCCTCAAGCTCTTCACTCTTCCTAAGCACTCAGTGAAACACTCAACGTCGGGTTCTAGCGTTCTTCAGGGCCTCCAGAACGCTGATGCTACCGTCCTGTCTCTTATTTGTATGATGCACGCATGCGCATCAGCCTGACCTAGTGATGCACTATCGGCCATCCTCTCTTCATCTGGCCTGTAATCGACCCGCTCAAGCCTACCAAAATCAATTTCTAGGCTCACAAGGAGCGATCGAGCCGACTCATTGGGAATACAAGGCAAGATGCATTTGAATGAGAGCCTTCCATGGGATAGATACCTATCTTATCCGAATCGCCATCACAGTGATGCAACCAGCAAATGAGCTATACATGATAGCATGAGACCGTAAATTGAAGAGTGTCTGTGCTCTGGGAGTGGCAAGTCTCGATTAGCAGAGAATTCCAAACTCAACACCACACTCTATCCAAACAGTGTCAATTAAAGATTGAATTTCGTTTTCTTTGCCACAATTTTTGACGCGTTCGAAAGGCACGAGTAGATACCGGAGTTGACGGCCTTGAGGAAGGGCCAGATGAGAAAGGTGGCGACCCCACCAAGTCCACGCCGACCCCTACCTGAAGAGTTTACCAGTAGGAGCATCATCTTGGGGTGTCGCAGAGGTACCGCTTTGAATAGCCGTATCCATTTCTCAGTCTCCCGAGCGTTCCTACACCGCATAACGACTTCAGGCTGACCGCATGCGTGGGAGCATCGGTAGAGCTTCAGCTGGCTATGACATGCCGGTGAGCGATCATCGTCGTCATCGGATACGACAATGGCCACCTGGAATGCTGTTAAGAGAGTGTGGGGAGGTGGAGACTTACTTTCATAGAGTCCTTCGAGAAGGACAGGATAGGCTCAGGCTCATCGGGCTCGGCAAACACATTGATGTCGGTTAGCGACACGCAGATATACACGTACCTCAGCAGTGCCTCTCAGCGTATCATTCGTAGCGAGAAGTTAACCAGCGTATGTTACTCGAGTTCCCCCTGATGACGCTGCTGCTTCCGCGGTGTAATCGCAACCAGACCCCCACCGACACAGGCAGTAAGTCTTGCGAGAACTCTGCCTATGGACTTCTCTAAGAGTGCCCATTGACCAGCCTGATCGGAAGATCCATCGAAAGGATAAACACAAGGAGCTCACTCTCTCCTCGGCATTTTCCGCTTTAAGCTTAGCACTCGACAATTCGCTCTTCAAGGCTTGGACCTGGGCTCTCAAGTCCTCAGCTGACGGAAGCTCCCCTCGAGAGGTACGCATGTTGCTGGTCATCAACTCCGACATACGTCTAAGCTCCTGCGAGAGACATGCCCGAAATCAGTTTTTCATCGCTCACTCATAACCTACCTTATCCTGTTTCCTTATAATTTCTTCCATCTCCATCACTCGTCCTTCAAGGTCCATAGTAGATCCTGAACTATGATCCTGAGCAAAGTGGGCATGTGTCGCTGCTGGGCATAGTCCACTCACCTGAGACTGTTGGTCAAGACTCCTGCGACGTGATCGCCTGAGTTCTCTCTCGAGAATATCAGCACGGTCGGTACTCTCTCGCAACAAAGCCTTGTAGCGATCATTCTCCTGGCGCAACCGGAGGACCTAGGCGGTGTGATCACGACACGTGATCCCGCTGGCTCACTTCCTCAGTGGCATCTGCTATGTCCCGTAGTGGTGACGGGCTCCAGCTATTACCGTCACCATGAATGCGCTCAGGAGCGTTATGGGACCCATCTAGGCGGCTATGCGAGGTGGCTTCTGCTTGCGGGGACGTGTGTGGGATCGATTGCTCGTCATGAACTTCTGGATTTTTAGTCGGTTGCCGAGCCCACCCAGACGAAGGTGATGCCCCGAGTGATGGGTGTATGGTAGTCCTTGAGACACCTTCCTCATCTCGACCACCTGTTGCTCGCCTAGCAATGCGTGTCGCACTACGGTTACACGATGACCAGGAGGCCGAACCTGAGCATCTCAGATGGATGAGGTTGATACGATGTGGGATATCCATAAAAGGGTTTGTCTACTGTGATCTTCAACTGTTGACCCTCGTCTAGAAGGCTCTCGAGTCGGTGATGAGTCTATCTCGGTTTGGAGTGCATTAACGCGTCTCTGCAATTCCTTGAGTCGGGCCGATGTGGGGGACTGTGCTCGCTGCCGACCTTGCATGGTTAAGCTTCCATAAAGTCAGGTCATGCTGAAGGGTATTCCATCATTCTGGAGGGCTCTAACCCTCTCAAGAGATTATGAAATACCAAGAGTGCTCCATGAGTGCGAAGAATCGAATTCACAAGCTCGATAACACAACTTCCATGTATTTTCATGTAGGTTCCCATTTTTAATGAGAAAACTGTCGTTAGCAACTCACCGAATCGAGATGATGTCAGCGGTATGGACGGATAGATCCGAACATTCAAACACATCCAACATTGACTGATGAAAGTCGCGCTCCTGATACAGAGAAGCGGACGTTTAGAACAGTTTTCTTTTAGAAACCGCCAGTGGAGGAAATAATGTTTTTCATTCTCACAAAGTGGGAATTCACAACCTATCTCGAAGGCCTCAGAAATCCTCAGAAGTCCGAAACAACCAACGATTTGGAACGACTCTCATAACGACACGAAGTGATCTACTATGACGCTCGACCTCAAAAAAGGGGCAATCTTTTGGGCCTCGGTAAGCAATTATTGACCTCACCCACTTCTAACACGACCCCGACTGAACAGAAGCTTTGTCGCTATCAACACTCAGGTCAAAACGACATTCACACGAAATACTCGACTGCATCCTATATTGGACCAGCAAACCGTGAACAATGCTGATGAAATCTACAATGTAGAAAGTATCATCAAGTTTTTCATTATCCCTTCCTGACTTCTCCTCAACAGATCGTCGGAGTATGTATATATTGAAGGTCTATAATGAATTATCTGAATTCATATTTCTTACAGTTCCTCGCCCTTGTCGGCCTCAGAGTCCTCCTCCTCGTGAACAGCCTTGCCGGCAGCAACACGCTCCTTCAGACCCTCTGAGTTCGAGTGGTGCTCCTCGATCCACTCCCACATGCCCTCAGCCTCACGAGGACCGTCGTACTTGATAGGCTCAGTCTCACCAGCCTTCACATAGAAGAGACTAGGGAAGCCTTCCCAGGAGATGCTCTCAACAGGAGAGTCATTGGCAGTGCCATCCATCTTAGAGAGCACGACCATGTCATCGAGACCTGCCTCAGCGACCTTCTTAGCAACCTTCTCGTACTCAGGGGCAAGCCTCTTGCAATGACCACACCAAGGGGCGTAGACTTCGAAGAGAACATCCTTGTCGGGCTGGAACACGTCCTCCACTAGAGTGGACCCAACGACAACGTGGATAGGCTCGTCTTGGGAGCTCGGCACAGGCTCAGATTTCAATGTAGGCTCAATAGAACCGTCAAGAACATTCTTCAAGAACTCGTCGACCTTGGGAGCAGTCATCTCACCAGTGTAGAGATATTTCAGCTTGTCACCAGCCTTCTTGTTAACAGCAAGAGTAGGAAGCTCAGTCACACCAAGCACACCCTCGAGGAACCTCTTGAACTGAATAGTATCAATGTAGAGGAAGGCGAACTGGTCCTTGAACTCCTCGGCTACTTCCTTAATGAGAGGACGATATTCGTCGGCGACCTTCTCAAGATCATCGCTGGACTCCATCTCGAGACAGGCCCAGACAAGACCCTTTCCAGAGGTCATGTACTTCTCGTAAGTCTCACCGTCGAGAACACCGAAAAGAGGAAGTGTGTTGTCATCGAGGCACTTCTTGAGACCATCAAAAGTAAGATCATCACAAGCGACAGGCTCCTCACTCTTATGCTGAACACTCACAGTCGGCTTCTCAGTGTCAACCGCAACATGGTAGAAGGTGAACTCCGTCCTCTTCCTAGCAGCAATCTCCTCGAAGTCAGTAGAGGCTTCAGGCCCCTCATAAACACAGATAGGCTTCGTGCCGGCCTGCTCCTCAGCCAGCTTACGACTGCTGATTTCCTTAACAGCAGGACCAGTCATCTCAGTGCACCAACTCTTGATCTCAACCGCAGTACGTCCACCACTGTACTCTGACTTCTCACCATCAACGAACCAGAACATCGTAGG